GATTAGCAGTCTATTATTCAACACTAAGACAATTGTAGACTGAAAAATCGTGAACTAGAAATGTCTTCTAAACCCCAGACTCAGGGACGCCGCTGAGTATCAGTGTATATAGGTTTCCAGTTGCTTTTATCAGTGGTCGTGATGAATTTATGTTGCTCCAGCCAACTTCTTACAGTCATCCAAGTAGCCAGAGGAACAAATTAGCACAGCAAAAACAAAAACGAAAGCAAAAACAAAAACAAAAACAAAAAACTGGCCTGTGAGGGGATCCCATGGGTGACTTTGGTTCCTGGGGAGTTCAGCTCCCCCAACCAAGCCAGTCACTGAATTCTGGAAGCCATTCTTGAGCTGTTTACTGTGAGAGGCATTTAAGTCAGCTCCATCCCTTCATGAAGACTGCTCTTCCTCAGCTCTCTTATTTTCTAGATCTTTCTCACTCCCTCTCCTCTGTCCCTAGGCAGTCTGGGCTTCCTGGTACACCTGCAACCCAAGTACTGCTCCAGTCTTCATAAACTCCATGACTGACCCAAAGTTACTGGTAGAAAAATCAGCAGAGATGCTAAATAGTCAGGCCTGAATATCAGAAACTGCTTTCTGCAAACTGGACAGTTGATAGTATGCAGGTTATTTCTGAAATCTCCTGTAGGCATCCACAAGGCCAAACCTAAGAGAGCGTTTCCACCACTCTTGCAGAACAGGCACTCTCCAAGGCCAAGAGACACCACAACGCCTGAGTAACAGGCCTTATATTTTCCAAGCAAGAGTTTGTTCCTTTTCCTAAAGAGAAGAGCAGAAAAACTATCTAGGTTCTGGCTAGTGTCTCTGAAATATCACATTTGAGCATATATATATTAAAACTGTTGAAGTCTATAAAATATAGTATCAAATTCAGATTGCTTATATTCTTATTGCCTACTTTCTACACACATTTTAGGATAAGTTACTGATGGAAACAAATTGATACAAATATATCAGGGGCCTGAACAATCTCAGTAGTGGTGACATACATTTCGTGGAATTCTGCCAAACAAAGGAACTGAATAGGCTGTGGGCAAAGCAATGAGGGAGTGTTAAAGAATGAAATATGTTAAATATTAATAATTCAGACATGGTACTGTATATTCTGCAAAAGAAAATTAACAGTAATACGCTAACGAATTTTATCTCCAAAGAGATAAGTGCACTGCCAAAGTATTCCAGTAACAGTGGAAGGCTGTGAACAAGTACCCAAAACACCTAGCCTTGAAGATCCCAAGGTTGCAATGGCTTTCACAGATGACTTCTTTTGCCAGAGGTCCAGAAAGAACTTGCAGCATGATCACCTGCCTGTTCAACTTCCACTCTAAGCAGCAAACTTTAAGGAGCCAAAAAAGAGTTGCCAGTGGGGAAGGGGAGCACAGAAGAGAAACATGTTAAATGTAAACTTAAAAGACAGTAAAATAGAAATCAACTCCCATTCAAATCTCAGAAATGTGGACAAGTCCCCAGAAGTAGTTGTTAGATTTAAAAATTGAACATATCTCATTTCCAAAAAAATACAATACATAGAAATTTCAGAGATAATTGGAAAAATCGTCAGAGAAATGCTCGATGAAAATCAAGACATTCAATTTAAACATCTCAGGGCTGAAACACAACCTTTTATCCATTCAGGCAACAATGCTTCTTGCTTCTTAGCAGAAATGCAATTGGTCAAGGACATCAAATGGCTTTACAGAGCAAGATTTTGAACTTTCCTTCTGGGCCAAGGATAGGCCTTTGAAGATTCAAGCAGCCCTGCAAGGCCTGAGAACAGTAGATTCCAAAGTTTCCAAAGTCTTGGCCCTTCCTTCCCAGATACAAGATCAAACACACAAAATCTGTCAGGCTACATTTTACATTTGAAGTATAGAAACATATTTTAGATACTCTTATGGCATTTATTTATTAAAATGTTCTCTGACAAGATTTCACATTAGCTTAAAATTCAAATCAGTCCTTACATTTCTTTACTGAGGTCTCCCCTCAGCATATCACATAAGAACACCTTCTCCAGTAATCTGTGTTACCAGCATCCATTCCGCGAGCCCCATGGTCAGCCTCTTTGTTCTCTAGGTGAACCAACTAGATGTTAATGTTGCTCTGCTACAAAGTAAAAGCTCCTAACTCAAATTTACTGGCAAAGGAGTGAAACTTATACAAAGTGACTTTAAGAAGAAGACTCTTTGCTTATGAAAAGAAACCAGTGAGTCCTCTACGAATAATAAAAGGAAGTATTTTACATAAAATACAATAAAAGTGAAGAATTTGGATGTTGCTTTACTGGTCCAGGTTGTTAATACTCTTGTTCCTCCTGTGGGCCCCCTCCATCAGGCATCACAAAGCCTTCATCTATAGCTTAATGTCCACAATCCTCTGTGATATGGAGTTGTTTTCCGCCTTGTTCCCCGAGCAAACAGTTCAACGATCCTTGGCTTTCCAAAGTAGAAATCTCTCTCTCTATTCAAGTCTTCAACAGTAAGTTTTAATATGTTGACCTGCTGTACCAGTTCTGCGGCTTTGTCATCCAGGTTGCCTACATCAGGATTCTTTCTCGCCACACCCAGGCCAGCCTTAGAGGTTGCAGTAGTTCTGTGTGTTGCAATGGGCCTCTGTGGAGCTGCACTGCTAAAGCTGAGAGGTTTCTTTGCTTTGTTCGGAGCCGGCGCAATAAGGGAGGAAGCCATTTCTTGACTTTGTCTGGCAGCTACAGAGTCATAGTCTTCCATCACCGTTTGCATCAAAAAACTTCTTGAACCACTCACTGAATGAATTCAAAATTGTCCTGATATTTTCCTTTTACTAATTTGTCCACAAGAATTATTTTGTCAACACCCGTCCTCTTAAAACCTGCTTGTAGCATTTTTAAGTTTTGGATGTGTTTGAGTTCAAGCTTAGCTTGGAATTTCACTTTCTTTCTTCAAGGCAATGGAGCCAGGGAACAGCATATCCATAAGTTGACAACAGGCAGCCCCTGAACACAACTGTTTGATCTTTGTCAAATATGACTGATGAGACTCATTGATCCAGGCCAGCAGTTTATGTCGACTTAGGTTATCGCTGGTGATGACACTGAGTATATGTTCACTGCCATCTTCCATTCTCAACGGAACTGTGTCCATTGCACATGCTGGCTCTGGTTCCCTCTTCATCTCATTCAAACTGTCCTACCCAGCTCGCTCATGCAATGACTTTACTTGCTCCCCACCCC